CATCAAAGAAATGTAAATATTATACAAATATAATGCAGGTAAAGAAAAAATGCATTTTCTACATGAAGCTGTTTATTATTTAGGCAAAAAAATAATTATCTAAATCTACATGGCCCTGTGTGAAAAAATAAGAAATAATGTAATTGAGATCTCTTAGTCTGGTAAAGTTTATAAAGCCATTTCTAAAGCTGTGGTACTACAGTGAGAGCCATTATCTACAAATGGTGAAAACATGGAACAGTACCCTAAGAGCACAAGGACGACTCATCCAAGACTTTAAAAAGACCCCAGAACAACATCCAAAGAACTGCAGGCCTCACTTGGCTGAGTTATGGTCAGGTGTTCATGACTCTTCAGTAAGAAAGAGACTGGGCAAAAATGACCTACAAGGCCAAGTTCCAAGACGAAAACCACTGCTGAGCAAAAGGAACATAATGGCTCAACTCAGTTTTGGGAGAAAACATCTTGATGATCCCCAAGACTTTTAGGAAGATGCTCTGTGGACTGACAAGACAAAATTTGAACATTTTGGGACATGTGTGTCCCATTACATCTAGTGTAAAAGTAACACCACATTTCAGAAAAAGCAGAAAAGGAGACTGTCAGGCCATCTGCTTCTGACCTCAAGCACACTTTGGTTCTGCAGCAGGACAATGATCCAAAAAACACCACCAGAAATGAAGCCTTCGGAGCGGCCTAGAATTCGATTCTAGCATGTGGCATGACCTTAAAAAGGTGGTTCATGCTCGAAAACTCTCCAGTGTGGCTGAATTACAACAATTCTGCAAAGATGATTCTGCCAGAATTCCTCCACAGTGCTGTAAACTCAGTTATTGCAAATGCTTGATTGCAGTTGTTGCTGCTAAGGGTGGGCCAACCAGTTATTAGGTTTAGGGGCCATTTACTTTTTCACACAGGGTCATTTTTTTCACTTAATAATAAAGGCTTTCATTTAAAAACAGGATTTTGTGTTAACTTGTGTTATCTTCGTCTAATATTTACATTTGTTTGATGATCTGAAACACTCAAGTGTGACAAACAGAAAAAAAGAGGAAAATCAGGAATGGGGCAGCACTGTATATCACTATTGAATGAGTTCATTCTTCATGTGCTGCAGGCTGTGGTGGCTGCCAGGGGCAGCTTGGTGGTACTTACTCAGTAACAAGAAAAAAACTGACATCCCAAGGCCCACTTACACTTTCAACACATCCCTCTTTTTATTGTTGCTGTGATGCATTCATGGTGCAGAAGTAAATTTGTTGTGGTACTTAGCAACTGGGTAGCTACTGAAGTAAGCATAACAGAGTAACATTTTTTTTAAATGGCAGGTAGTTTTAAATGCAACATTTTAATCAACTTAACAAATGTCACCAAACACACACAACTGTTTCCGTGCAGTTTTTCAAAAAGTGGACAGTTTCTGTATTTCCCAGGGGGAAAAATGTTAATGTGTGACACTGACAGAGAAAGAAAGGGAAGGAAGGAAAGGAAGATCAAAGGTTATTTTCAAAAGTAAACATTGCTCAGCTTGTGACATTTTTATGGACTAGTAAGTTAAAAATTATGTGTAATTTTCTGATTCATTTTAGAGTGCTTAATTAAAATTTTGGATCTATAGGTGATGTGTTGCTAAATTATGTTTTTGTGAAATGTCTTGCAAAAACAAATTTAAGTCATTTAAATTTTAAGAATATACTGTTCAGGCTAGTGCAGGTTAGTTTACAGTAATGCAGTGCGCTTGACTGGTTACAGCTAGGGCAATGTTACCAGATTACATCAAAGGTAGCAGACATCAAGGTATAAACCTTTTATACTAGCTTTATTGTATCTAATTAGGGGGTTGGAAATCGGCCATATAGCCTGTGTAACATCTGCTTTAGATATTGTTGAATTCAGTTGGTTGCATCATCAGACAGAGCAATGAATATTAGAGTAGAAACCCAGGTCAGAAGATCACAGGTTGTACACAAGGAAAAACCTACTGGAGCTTACAAAACAATGTCTTATGTGCCCTTTTTCAAAGTGATTCTTAAGACTAAGACTTGATCTTGGTGTTCCCCACCTGCCAAATCCCACTTTAACCCCTCATGACAAGGACTTTTAAACTTCCAAGCCTCATTAATATTAAGCAGAAGGGTTGACTTTGTCCTTTAAATCTTTGCAGTATGTTGTGTTAGATTTAGCTGTCATCCCATTGCAGTTTTTAACTGTGTACTATAAGATTATGTTAATTTATTATTGTGTAGTTAAGCTATGATGTGGGTTAATAAATAAATATGAATATAGTCAATAACCCTAAATTGTATAAATGTAATATGCTTTCATATTTTATTACTTATATATGACTATTTCACATGTGAAAAACATGAATATGATTTTCTTGCAGATATGGATAAAACTATCTGTATCCCTTTCAGTCACTTTTTAGCTTTCATGGTTAGCGAGTTAGCACACAGAATAACTGACTTACAGTAATCCAAGAGGACCTAAATATCACACAATAAAGTTTAAACTTTAAAAAAAAAACACAGCAAGCAATGTTTAAACCATATATTGAAAAAAATCTTATACAGTCATTGATTTAAAAAATAGTTAATGTTTGCTAGCTAGCTAGTAGCTAATTAGCTTTAGCTTGATGTGCTAGAAATTTGTTCAGCAGCTAGTTTGAAGTAACTGTAAAACTCAAAGGAATTGTTCAACTGTTTAAACTCATTAACTTGATATGTAAACTTTGTAACAATGCTATACAATTTGCAGTTTAGTGTGCTATAAATAAATGTTTATTAATAGCAAAATATAAAATTAGTAGGCTACAATACGAGTAATTAACAGTTTCTGCTGGTAATAGTTTTACTTATTTAGCTAAGTAAAACTA